AATACATCTGACAATCTTTCCCTGAACATAATGATAAACATGAAAATGACAACACCCCCACTCTGTACCTCTGCACCACCATTCTAACAATAATAACCCCTACACAGTAAGTAATGATAGTATAATACACTTTCCCTATAGGAGCTTTAAATATGCACAGTATAGAAACTACAGTGAAGTACATGTGCCAGAACCTACCTATTCAAGTAAGTGCTAGGAGGTATATAGCTCAGAACAGTTTTGAAACTCCTCTTTGGGGAATGTCTTTAGACTTTCTGTTATATTTTATTTCACTAAATCCCACACATAAGCTACTTTTCTAGGACCTGGGAATGCATTATGGTACGTTACTACGGAGCTCATGGTATAACGGAATTGCCCCAAATCAACTACTGAGGACAGAAGGAATGATTTAATGAATTAACAAACGCTCACAAATGCCTACTACATGTCAGGCACTTTTCCAGACCCTGGACACACCACATGAACAAAACAATTACCCTGTCTTCATGAAAAAGATAAACTACCTTCATTTTCAGAAGTGATTCAAAGTCATAAAGCATTGTAAATGAAAGGACTATGTTTGTTGTAAGAACAATACATCTGCTCTGAAGTAAGGAGTTTAAAATGTTTTAAAAAATAAGAGTGTCACTGATTGAATTATACAAACCTATTATATGGCTTCTTTGAAGAACAACTTTAACCAGATGTATAAATTCACTTAGTCATGCCCCTTTCATTTTATGGATGAGGAAACAAGGGCTCAGCCAGGCTGAGTAACCTGCTGTGAGCACAAAGCTTGTCAGTGTCAGATCCCCCAACAGAACCGTGGAGGTCCTCCTAGTTCAGTGCTAGTCCTAGTTGAGTGCTCTTTCTAGGAAAAGCTTTTTTTTCAAGGACAAGTGCTTTAGGCTTTACGTCTCCAAAATTTTCCAACCTTCTGAGCTCAATGAGGTTAACATGTAGTCACAAACTATCAGACTAGGAAACAGAAGCAGAAAATGGTCAAAACAATTTTCTAATAAGTGAATAGAGCAAAACTGTGATCTTGACACTACCATATGCTGCTGTTTCAACCCTTCCAACGCTTTAGTTCTTTTTCACTTTCTCCTGCTCTTCTCCCTTCATTTTAATTTTACTTCTTTTCAAGATTTATTTATTTGAGAGAGAGAGAGAGAACACACATGCATGAGGGCAGGGAGGGCAGAGGGAGACAGAGAATCTCAAGCAGACTCTCTGCTGAGTAGGGAGCCTGATGCAGGGCTGGATCCCAGGACCCTGAGATCATGAACTGAGCTGAAATCAAGAGTCAGATGCTTAATGGACTGAGCCAACTGAACACAAGGTTAGGTGCCCCTTGGTTAATTTTAAAAGTATTTTGTCTTCTTAACTACTACAGTAGCACTACCCTTGTTAAAGTCATCATACATTTAAATCCAAGGAAAATTGCTAGCTTTTTCAGTTCAGGATTATTTAACAATAAAGTCTGTTTTTAAGCTTTAACATTGTGATCTTTGACAGGTTTTTCTTTTTGTTTTTAATCTTTGGTGCTTTTAATACCTATTATTTAATACTTCAAATTAAGTAATTATGAAGCACTCACAGTATATGAAAGACTGTGCTAAACCTACTACACAGATTTTTTTTAATTCAGCCTTACCTTCAAAAATACCACTAGCATTCTGAGGGTATTACTCAATCCAAAATGCAGGCTAGATCAAAACTATCTAAGTTGGACAAAGCAACTGAGTCTGTCTAGATTGAGAGATGACTTTCAAACCGTCAGGCCCCAAAAGAGGGGTCCAACCACCTGAGCCAATCCCACTTGTCCCCACCCAACCTCCCCTTCCAAGCTTGGCCCTAAAGTGGGCTGCTGTTGAAAAACCATTTCTGAGGGCTGCCTGGCTGGTTCAGTCAGCAGAGCATGCAACTCTTGACTTCAAGGTGGTGAGTGCAAGCCCCACAATGGGCATACAGCTTACTTAAAAAAAATTTTTTTGTTGTTTTTGAAATCCACTCAGAAAACTTAAGGACTACTCTGAAATTCTATGATAACCTGTTATGGTTTTTAATATGTACTTTAATCACGAATCTGTATGTCAGTGAAGGTGAAGAAGTAGACCCTCTCTTTGGGATTTACAGACTACATGAAGAATCCTATTCACTGTAAGTATTATACTTAGTCCATGAAATCCGGCTCCATTTTTGGCTTTTCTCTGTGAAATAACTAAAAGCTTATCACCAGTGAATCTAGCTCTGTAAAAGCTTCTCTTACCTCTTAATAGAGAGGTATTTAATGTGAGATATTTCTTCTCTAATACAATTAGGTCTTCCTGCCATCTTTCCTTCTCACATCATTTTAGGCAACTACAGGAACCGTTCTACTTGGCCACTTTCACACAGAACAGTTTCCAAAACTGTTGGCACGCCTCTCTTTCCAGCAGATGGCTTTATTCCTCGATACACAGAAAAGACTGATGCTTTCCCACATGAGTAGCAATAATTTTCCCCCTCCTAGTCCTTCACAGTTCTCCACAGACCTCTCATTTGCTGGGTTAACCTTTACTGTTAACTCCGATCCCCAAATGCTTTGCTCCATCAATTATTCTCCTTCTTATTTGATAAACATTCTTCCATAAAATAACCTAAAAGTCTTTCCAGTACTAGCCTTCCCGTTACTTCATCCAATTTTTTATTATACTGTGGATGATCTAGGGCTTATAATTCATTGTCTTTAGCTACTGTTGAATAACACTTTAGGAAGCAGCTTTATGAAAACTACATTTTTACTATAGGTAAGTTATAAAAAATAATTGCTCTACTCCCTGTAAATGAAGTCACATGAGAAATTTCTTCCCTATGGAATGCATGAGAAGCTTTAGCTTTCCCTAATAATCTAGTAGGTTTTCTCCTTATGTATAACAAAAAAAAAATGTTACCCCATCTCATTTCCCTTGCTCTGGCTACAAGAATACTCAGGGTCAAATGTGCAGGTCAATTTGAATAAATCTGAGCATCTCACTCATTCCTAGCTTATGTAATTTCATGCTAAATTTCCATTTTTTAATTTTCAGTGGTTTTGATTTTAAATTCTTTTCTATTTTGTGATTACAAATTCTTATAAATTACCTCAGATTTTTCATGATATATGGCTTTGACTTTAAATCTTTTATTTTCTGATTGTATATTTGTGTAAACTGCCTCAGATTCTTCATAGTACAAAATTATGTATAAATAAATAAGCTGTGGTATTTCCAAACCCCTCTATAATATCTGTGGTTAACAAAGACTTGTGGAATTAAAAAAAGGAAACAGAGAAGCGTGGCTAATTAAATCATCTGGTCTTATTCCAACAGGAATTTTTCTCATTTTATTTCTATTGTACATAATATGAATCCATGATCTAAAAATAGTCTATCTACCATTATGTTAATGAAATCAATGAAAAGAAGCAGAAACACTTTTCATTCTTTGACTCTGCTGGGATTTTTGTGTACTTGCTTTCAATCAATCTGTTTTCCTCTTTAATACAGTTATGTGACTGATGCCTCACTAAAAGATTTAAACAATTACTACAGAGTAGCAGAGTAAAGACCGGCATACTAAAAAAGGTTATAAGGGGAATTTATGACACAACCTGAGTTTGAATAGAAGTTCTGTGGGATTAGAGCCCATATCTGTGATATTATGTTTCCAATTTCTATTCTCAACTGCTTTTTCAAGATAGTAGGTAACTTACTTTCTGGAATACCATTTACTCAACAAATATTTACAAAGAATTTGCTATATGCAAAACTTTTTACCTAGGAGTTTTAAAGTACTCCACAGAAACAGGAATTTCTTTACTCCATGAAAGTGTGCCATAAGGAGAGCTCTACTTACCTATTTTGTTGTGCAATACTAAAGGGTCACCACTTAAATACATTAATTCCCCTTATTTGTGGTTTTTATAAAGTCACTGTAAACACTGAATTAGCAATTACCAAGCCACCACTGTTACTGGGGGAAATATAGGGTTGGGGTACTGTGTGTCTCTGGTCACAAAATGTTCTTCAACTGACCAATGCATAACCTTGTTTTATGTGTGTTTCCTTTTTTTTTTAATAGTGCACACATGGCAGCGGGGCAGGAGGAGATGGAGAGAGAATCTCAAGCAGGCTCCATACCCAGCATGGGGCCAGACTAGGGTTTGATCTCACAACCCTGAAATCATCACCTGAGCTGATCAAGGGTCAGAAGTTCAACTGACAGAGCCACCCATGCACCCTATATGTGCATTTCTTTTTATTTATTTATTTATTTATTTATTTATTTATTTTTAAGACTTTATTTATTTGTCAGAGTGAGCACAGGCAGACAGAATGGCAGGCAGAGGCAGAGGGAGAAGTAGGCTCCCTGCTGAGCAAGAAGCCTGATGTGGGACTTGATCCCAGGGCGCTGGGATCATGACCTGAGCCGAAGGCATCTGCTTAACCAACTGAGCCACCCAGGCGTCCCTGTGCATTTCTTTTTAAAGATGGCACTTCAGTACTACTCTCAGGAGCCATTTTAAACAAAATCCTCAATAAAAAGCACAAAAGTGTGAAAAGGATAGCACTAAACAGATAGGGAAAAGTCACTTGTTTATAGTAGGAAAACAGTAACAAGAAGGTACAACATTGATGAAAATGTGCATGTTGGGTGAATCAAATTTTCTGTAGCTTTGCACATGTCCATGAGAGCGCTGCTAAGTACTGAGACTCTGGGTTACAAATAAATTTTAGAAAGCAAGCAAATCTACAAATACAGAATCTGCAAACAATGAGGATCAACTGCATATGAGTAAAATATTTCAATGTAGTCTCTGACTTGATTGTCACCCAAAGAGCTCTGGAAAGCCCTAACAAATACCCTTCAGTTACTATGCAAATTTAAAGAGTTTTGGACTACACCACACTACTTCAAGAAGTAAGATTCTGAGACATTCACAAGTTGGTATTATTAAAAATGTCACTTCCTACCTGATATATTCTAAAAGGGATATAACGAAATCCATTTTCTTCTGCGGGATATTCCATGAGTTTCCGGTTGATGGCCCAAAACTGGTCAAATCTATCTGTAATGATAAATTATCTGTTATTAAAAATGAACATTATAACTTAAAAACTCACATGAAGAAATGAAAGTTGTTATTCTCTTTGAAGTTTTTGAAAAAGCTTCATTTAATATTATTTTTTCTTAAACTTATCTTTCCATAACTAAACATAAAGCAAAATATAAAATATATTTTTCTACATTATTGCTTCCTCTTCCTAGGTATTTACATATACATTTCATCTCATAAGAGAAACCCTGAAGAGTTGACTACTTGTGTCATCAAGGCAAAAACATCAGAAATGAATGTCTAGATTCCTTATCCTATTCCTACATCTAAACAAGAAAAAGATGGTTTCAAGTGATCTAAGTTTTAATCAGAACTTACTTAAGGAAACAAAAACACCAAACACAATAAACATTAGACAGTAAAGAGGACAAAATTACAGGAAAGGGTTTGAAGAAAATGTGGAACTGACATTTAAGCAATGACTGTCAATTGTAGCTTAATCTCAGTGATTAAATAACTCCTTTATAAGTTTTTCAGGCTCAGTTTAAGAAAAACCACTTTACTGAGATGTAATTCATATACCGTAAAATTAACCCTCTCATTTTTTTTTGATTCACCCTTTTAAAAGTGTACAACTCAGTGTTTTTTAGTATATTCAGTACTATACAACTACTGGTAGTATCTAATTTCGAATACTTTCATCCTCTCAAAAAGAAACCTATACCCATTAATAGTTATCCCTCCTTTTTCCTCTCCTCCTATCACCCTAGAAATCACTATTCTTTATTCCAGACACTTCACATAAATGGAATAATACATTATGTGACTTTCGTACCTAATATTTTTTTTCCTTAGCTTGTTTCCAAGGTCCATTCAAGTTGTAGCATGTCTCAGATTTCATTCATTTTTATGGACAAATAATATTTCTTTGTACGGAGACAAATTTGTTTTGTTCACCCATTTATTAATTCATGGAGATTCAGGTTGTTTCTAGTTTTTGGCCATTATGAATAATGCTACTATAAATATTCACATATAAACTTTTGTGTTGGATGTGTATCTTCAATTTTCTTGGGTATAAACCTAGGAGTAGAACTACTGATTTATATGGTAACTGTTTAACTGCCATATGGTAAATATGTTTTCAGAAACTGCCATCTGTTTTCCAAAGAGGCTGCAACCCTTTACATTCCCATGAGCAATGTATGAGGGTCCCAATTTTTCCATATCCATGTCTACGCTTGTTATCGCCCATCTTTACCTTTTCTTTCTTTCTTTTTTTTTTAAAGATTTACTTATTTAAGAGAAAGAGTGTGCATGAGTGGGGGGCAGGGGGGAGAGCATCCTCAAGCAGACTCCCCACCAAGCGCAGAGACCAACATGGGGCCTGATCCCAGGACCCCAAGATCAGGACCTGAGCTGAAATCAAGAGTTAGCAGCTTCATCGACTATGCCACCCACGTGTCTCCCCACCACCCTTTTATTAGAGTCACACTAATGGGTCTGAAATGTTATCTACTTTTTTTTTTTTTTTTAAGACGTATGTGTTTGAGAGAGAGCAAGTGAGTGAGTGCTATAGAGTGGGAGGAGGAGCAGAGAACCTCCAGAAGACTCTGCCCTGAGCATGGAGCCCCAGGTGAGGCTTGACTCAGGACCCTGAGATCCTGACCTGAGCTGAAATCTAAAGCAGCTGGATGCCCAACTGACTGAACCACCCGCCCCTCCCCGATTATGGTTTTGACTTGCATTTCTCTCATGAATATTATGCTGAGCGTCTTTTCATTTGTGTACTGGCCACTTACATATTTATTTTGGAGACATGCCTAATAAATCCTTTGTTCCCTTTCTAAGTGGGTTGTTTGTCTTTTTTACTGTTGAGTTGTAAGGTTGTTTTTTTAAATGTATTCTGGCTACAAGCTCCTTACTGATAAATCTACGCAAGTATTTTTTCCCATTCTGTTGTTTTTTAAGTAACTCTTTTTTTTTCCCTTAAGATTTATTTATTTGACAGAGAAAGATCACAGGTAGGCAGAGAGGCAAGCGGGGGGCGGTGGGGGGAGAGAAGCAGGCTCCCCGCTGAGCAGAGAGACTGATGCAGGGCTCGATCCCAGGACCAAGAGATCATGACCTGAGCCGAACGCAGAGGCTTAACCCACTGAGTCACCTTTTGACTTACGAAGAATCCTACTTTAAAATTATTTTTTATAGTCAAAAGTTTATGTCAGAATCAAGTCTCTGTAAAGTACATGAACAGCACCAGAATTTCAGATCAGCTTGGTACTCAAGCACATTCTCTACTACTAGACTAGACTCATCTCAATCCAAATTACTGCCAGTGCGTGGATACTGTCTCAGTCATTGTAATTATACAAAAGAATAAAGTTTAGTTGTTTTATTTTCTTCTATCCCTGTCCTAGAAGACTGTGACGGTCTCTAGGCCTTCTCTAGTCTCATAATCAAGTTCAGTCTGGGAGTTCATACTGTAACAGAACTAGTAGGATAGGTAACTCAGAACCCAGTTAGTCTAATGTAATTTCACAGATGACAACAAAGGCCTAGGTTGTTATGAGTTTCATGAAGAACTAAGACCAAACTCTCAGTCTACTGATTCAAGGCCCACAACCGTTTCAACAGTTGCAACCACAAAACTGTGCCTTAATGCTAAGAGTAGCTCCTTTAACCACAGTCCTTTCATATATGAATCAATTATTCTTTCAATGCTTTTTAAACAAGTATCTTTCTATCATCAAGTATCAAGCAAGATTGTGATAGCCAAATAAAATGATTCTTCATGATACCTGAAATTTTACTCACTGCCTTATCATCAAATCTCTAGTATCTACCAAAGTGCATACATAACAACTTTTTTTAAAAAATTTTATTTATTTATTTGACAGAGAGAGAGAGAGAGATCACAAGTAGGCAGAGAGACAGGCAGAGAGAGAAGGGGAAGCAGGTTCCCTGCTTAGCAGAGAGCCCAATGTGGGGCTTGATCCCAAGGCCCTGAGATCATGACCTGAGCTGAAGGCAGAAGCTTAATCCACTGAGCCACCCAGGCACCCCCTTAACATACACTCTTAAATCAAAGAATGAACAAGAGAATACTATATACATAACCTTTTTTGGAAAACATTTTGGGTTCCAAACCTAGGTATGCAACTAAATAGGTAGGTGACTAGAAACAAATCAAATGCAAACTGAATAATTCACTTATAGATGAAATAAAGAGGTTCAACTGAATAGTTTCTAATACTTGTTCCAAAAACAAAACTTTATAATTCTCTAAGACACCCTCTTTTATTAAAATAGCATTTGCTAAAAACCATAAGCCAATCTTTATTACAAGAGAGATCTAGATTGTTTTTAACTGAGTGTTTTTTATTTTTTATTTATTTATTTATTTTTAAAGATTTATTTATTTGACAGACAGAGACCACAAGTAGGCAGGGAGGCAGGCAGAGAGAGAGAGGAGGAAGCAGGCTCCCTGCTGAGCAGAGAGCCCTATGCGGGGCTTGATCCCAGGACTCTGGGATCATGACCTGAGCTGAAGGCAGAGGCTTTAACCCACTGAGCCACCCAGGCGCCCCTTAACTGAGTGTTTTTTAAAACTGTGGCTCTTCACCAGGAGAGACTTTTGCTCACTAGTGGGTCTGGAGACATTTCTGGCAGTCACAACTGTTTATGTGTGATATTAGTATCCACTGAGTAGAGGCCAGGAATGCTGCTAAACATACTACAATGCACTGGACAGCTCCCCACAGCCAATTCTTAGCTGAACCAAAGTGTCAATAGGGCTAAAGGAAGGCAAGCAAAAACAAACAATAAAAAGTACAGAAAGGGAATTAGTCAAAAGTTTTTACATACCTATATGGCAAAAAAATAAACTGGAAAAGGGAACATTATTGTGCCCCTTATCATTTAATGACTCTCAGTTTCAAAATGACCCTTTAATATATGCCCCGCCATAACAGACAAAATGGAAGCCTCTTTCTTTCTTTCTTTCTTGAGAGAAAAGGAGGGTGCGTGTGCACATAGGTGCCCACACACGTGAGCACAGGGGTAAGGCTGAGGGGCCGAAGGAGAGAAAGAACCTTATGCAGGTTCCATGCCCAGCATGGAGCCCAATACCGGGCTCAATCTCATGACCCTGAGATCATGACCTGGGCCAAAACCAAGAGTCAGATGCTTAACCAACTGAGCCACCCAGGCGCCCCTGAAGCATTTCTATTCTTACAACCACATTAAGCTTTCTCAGTAGAGGGCTAAAAGGACACTGCAAGGAGAAGGAGGCTCCTGTCTGCATAGGCACAGTAAAGACAGGACCCCTAGATCCTGTCAGCCCCTGGTTTCCTCTGAAGGCCCACATGGGTGGCTACCTGCCACCTGCCATACAGCTGCCAGTCCCTCTGCATGCCCAGGCAACATGCTGCTAGTGGCCTGGGCTCCAGTTGTCCTGACTGCCCCGTGACTGCAGACCAGCTCCAATCTGGGCTAAGGAGTGAATTTCTCTACTAATCCAGGGTATTGAACTATATCTTCCCCAACAAGTTCTAAATCCAGCCTCAGCTAGAGAATCCATGTAAGCGTGACTTTCCAATCCCTTCATCCTGGAGTACCATATGCAATTTTCTTATATCTTTACTAACTCTTTTATCAGAGTTTAATTATTCCTATGAATCTTACCCCATTTAACCCTCTGTGTGGTTTCTATCTCCTGACTCAAACCAGTCTGATACAACTATGTTTTAAAGGAATAAAGACATAATAAAAGATATGTTATTAATTAATAGTAGCTTTAATCTTCTTATGAAACTGTTATGTTCCCATATAAAACAGGTTATTTCCTCAATACTACTAAAGACATTCCAACCAAGAATAATCTACCTTTTAAAAATCAATGTTATTAATAAGACACAAATAGAAGAAACTAAAAGAAAATCAGTCCTGAGATTGAGAAAACTGAGTTTATAACCAGTCATCTTTCACACTGAATTTTGTTATATCAGTGTATC